GTCGGCGTAGACTCGGGTGCTCTGTAGTATCAATAATGCATGGTGGATAATTACTGCGGTTCAGATGCAATTTAAATTTGAAAACCGCCAGCATAAATTCTAGGACCCCTTGCAGAATGTGCATGGACTCAACTTGCATCTGATGTGGAAGTTTGTGGATGATAATTCAGAAACCGAATGCACACAGAATGCAGCTCTGGCAAAAACACCTTGCCTTTCTATTGAAAAACGGTTCAGCGTCTGACTGAGCTATGATGCCCTGGCTTCACTAAAAAGAGGTGACATGTGCCTTGTCGAAAAAGCAACACTAGATGAGACGCAGAGAAATGATGCTGAACAGCGAATACGCAAATACGCCGGGGCCAACGATATGCCTCCATGCATATATATACACACATACGTATAATATATATATATACATACGCTTATATCCATGCGACATTTAAAGCGAGTTCATGTGTCCTAGACACCTATGCGGCTTATCAAATACCTGCATTACAACGCGGATAGCAGGATGCCTTCTTGGTCTTCAATTGTTGGGTTTCGAACGTTGTCTTGTCGAATTGCCCAAGTAGCTTTGCGTCTGGTGAGCTCTATATACCTTTTTGGCAGATGTTTTCCATCAACATATCGTGCGAGTTGTTGTGCGAGTGGCAACTTCCAGGTTCACAAGGTGGTCTTGATCAACAAACCACCCTCTGCTCTTTTAGTAGGCATTTATAATTCGATTCCATCATTATGGCCGAACCGACTGTTATGCAGGCCTGTCAACTGGGTGCCTCGTTGCTTACTGTTTTCCAATAGTATAATTAGTTAGGTGATAAATTGTAATTGCCAGTCGGTGACAGGGTTTAAAGCATGCAGGATCTCACCGCACTGCAGAAATTTTAATGAATTTCCCTAATGAAGTCCGTGACATTAGCCGCCTGGTGAGTATATATCGTTTCGGCTGAAACGGGGTCACGGAGTCAGTCTCGTATTGCTTTCATCATTTCAGATCATTTTTGATTCTACGTGGCAATAATAATGATATTTTCATTACTTAAAATTAGGTTGATGACATGCGCCAAGGTAACTGAATACATCTTCCTTCGGTGGATGAAGCGGTGAGGCTAAACTGAACTGAATTGAACTGAGAGTTTTCTTCCACATTCTGCACTGGTCAGGACAATGGTTCGCTTGTACTTTAATGTATTTTACTGCCTGAGTAGCACCCGTTGATACGCTATCTGTTTTATTTTGAGATCACTCTACTGCTTGTACGACAGCGCTGCAAAATTCCATCCCCAAACTGATTGTACTTGAATGATTTAATAACTTCCGCTTTAATCCACTTCTATAATCATGAACTTGTGTATCTACGTGCAGATACCACCTCTGGATGGTCAGCAGGGCTTACCTGTTTGAAGTACTCCACGTGGATATGCTGAGCTAGGGATATTGGTGGTGACATGGAGAAGCAGTGATCATCAGCCCGAAACCTCAAAAGTAGTATGGGAAGCCCAATGTGCCGTCGATTGTCTGATGCGAAATGTGCTTCGTTTTCTTTCGTTTAGGCATCTGACTTCTTTTAGACTGACTCATTTGTCCCTGGCCCATACCGTAAGAATAGATCGTTAAAAAACAACGTCACATAGATCCGAAGGTCGCCTCTATTTCTTAGTTAACAGGACTAAGGAAGTTGTGTGCAAATGTATGAGATCTCTACAAAAGTACTCCACTGTCTTTTCGAAGGCTTGAGAAAACAGGTAGTTCTCCCGCTACCTGGGGTTTTGTGAGAGTGTGGCCTCAGTAATGTGCCAACTATTTTGTATGGGTCAGGCTGTAAAACCACAAGAGTTATATTAGGTTCGTGTATCTGAAATCAAGTTTCTTTGCTCTTACGTACTTGTTCATGGAACGCGATTAGATGCCTACTTATGTTTTCTTATTTGTCAATTGTTTGAGGTTTTCACCATTTCATTAATAAGAGGATTAAAAACTAAATACTTCATCGCTGTCGTTACTAATCTAATATTTTCGTCATTCCACCATTTTAGCTTCCTCTGCACTTCTCATTGACACACTGAATGCTTCCCTCAATGGCAGTTCTGCGAGGCACACACATTGTGCAAACAGCAGCTAGCCATGCTTACGGGATCTGAATTTATTTAACTGATATGAACGAAAATGCTACTTCTTCAGTGAACATCTCAGATGGGCTGATTCCCACACATTATATCACTTCGCTTACTTCTACTTCCGAACTACTGAAAATGATGAACACATCGTTTTCCAGCAATCCATGCACCTCTTCACTCGATACACACAAATTCGTATTCATTTTACTGCAGTAATTACCATGAGGCCCACATCCTGCATTCCATGCGGCGGTCACGGGATGCGTAGACCTCTCAAATATTTATGAAAGTAAATATTGGCTACTAATTTGTCATCATTTTGTCTTGGTTAGGAGAAAGCACAAGATGATATGAATGTCCGTAAAGGAGTCCACCAACATATACTTGTCTTCCAAACTTCGTTTATTTTAATCAATACTTACACACGTCATTTGGACCGACAACCCTTTCTCTCGTAAGTAAGACGTTGCTAGACTAAGGTTTTGATCGCTTAGCTACTGTATTTTAAGGCTACCTACTTTATGTTTGTATCGTGACAAGCAATCTAAAATCAAACCGTGACAAACTGTCCATTTCGTCTACTTGGATCATTTTACCATAGTTAATAATAGTCAGTTATTATGCGCATTCATATAGCAGAAGCATAAAACTTGCAAAGAGATCACTTTCCGGCAATTCATTTCAGCCAAATACAATTACAAGACAGATAAATATGAGAAATAAGCGAATGCTGGGAATGCGATTGTTTGACTCGACGACGTCGATGAATAATCCACTGCATACAGTCAGGCGTCATGGGTTGCACGAGCACGCGCCAGGACACACACACGCAAAAAGCACAGATGCGTTGACCGGTAGACCTACCATGATCACTCTCAATCGTGACAACAGTCCGAGATTACAATCAGGGAAACAAGAGAGATCGTATCAGTATTCTCTGCTTGCACAAATCTGGCTGAAGTATTTTGCTAGCAATGGTTTCAGCGGTGATCAGCAAGCGCTTTCTGATTCCTTTGGGGTTTCGCCTCGGTGTCGTGTAAAGTATTTCAAAGGCATCATCAGACCGAATCTGATGGCCAGTACTAGACATATAGTCGAGGATGCAACTGCAGACATTCTTACCCATATCATGTTGCAAAGAGGTAGGACAGTGCTGCGCTATCCGCTTAGATATAAGCCTGGATGTCGTGTTGCGACGTCGAACCGATGACACACGATAAAACAAGCTTTCATAAGACAACGTGGGTGGTTCAGTACACGCACTTAGTTTGTATCTGGTAAGTACAGGAGAAATCTTGTGCGGTGTTTGTACTATCGGGCCGCAAGGATTTGCAGTCTAAAAAGGGTAGAAGCCGAAAGGGAGTTTATTCACAAGACGATGCAAAGTAATGGGTATCTTGCTGCGTTTATCAAAGAGCACTCGGTTGATTCAGATCAAATTAAAGCGATACCGACTGCAAAATTGCAGGCTGTTTACCTCGCAGTTTCTTTCAAGGGAGATTTCGCTTTCGTGTTACTGAATAATAGATTATGACCGGCGGCAAGAAAAATATAGCCGACCGCCAAAGTTTATATCTTTCCTTATACTATAACGCAATCACCGAACGCCTCAAAGATAGAATCACGTCGCGTTCCGAATCTATTGCTCTATATCAGTTCACCTGCACCTGTGGTGCAAGGTACCTTGGGTATATGAGCAGTCGTCCATCTAAGCGGATAGCGCAGCACTGTCCTACCTCTTTGCAACATGATATGGGTAAGAATGTCTGCAGTTGCATCCTCGACTATATGTCTAGTACTGGCCATCAGATTCGGTCTGATGGTGCCTTTGAAATACTTTACACGACACCGAGGCGAAACCCTAAAAGAATCAGGAAGCGCTTGCTGATCACCGCTGAAACCATTGCTAGCAAAATACTTCAGCCAGATTTGTGCAAGCAGGGAATACTGATACGACCTCTCATGTTTCCCTGATGGTAATCTCGGACTGTTGTCACGATTGAGAGTGATCATGGTAGGTCTACCGGTCAACGCATCTGTGCTTTTTGCGTGTGTGTGTCCTGGCGCGTGCTCGTGCAACCCATGACGCCTGACTGCATGCTGTGGATTATTCATCGACGTCGTCGAGTCAACCAATCGCATTCCCAGCATTCGCTTATTTCTCATATTTATCTGTCTTGTAATTGTATTTGGCTGAAATGAATTGCCGGAAAGTGATCTCTTTGCATGTTTTATACTTTTAAATTTAGTAATGTGTGTTTCTCGTTATGTTGATAACTAGAGTATTTGATATCCATCTACACCTACAAGTTTTTTAAGCTTTCTGCTAAAAACAAAAAACGTATCATAGCATTTACATGTGATATGTACAACAAAACGAATTTTGTTTTATCATCCCTTCGGCTTTTGTTAATTCTTTCCATTTTACAGGGCATTTAAGTGTAGCATTTATTATACCTGTGACATACAATCGTTTCGTTGTTCAATCGCATTACCTTCCAGATTTCAGCATAATTCAGCCGAACGTGTCGACTTGTAATCATACATATCACTTCAGAGAATTTTATGAAGACAGAAGAAAGACAAACAAATGCAAATAACCCCAGGAGGTCGGTTGCACCTACACTCTGGAACTAAACGTTGTGCTGTGCCATTCATAATTCAAGAACGTATGCAGTGACTTATCCACAGTGAAAGGATGTTTCAAATAATGGGCTTCTGTTTACAACGACCGATACATCGTGTTTGTAGACAGTAGCCAGAAAAAGCGGCCGTCATAAATCGTGAATGATATTGCTTCACATTTTTTTGATTCCTTTAATCTACTCGTTTTGAATTCTCTCCTATACCGACTCTCCTTTTCCACTTTCATCTACCTAGCACCGCATGCACAAAGATGTATTGTTGCATGTGTTTAAAATCCAATTTAAAGTAAACTTTCTCCCTTGCGTTGCTGCAGAATTACCAGAGTAGCCATGTGTAGTGTGAAATCGCGTAGACAATAAATTGCATTATCTTTAATGCTGCTCGTTTCGTAAAGAATGCATTAAGCATCTTGTCAGGTGTTTGTATGTGATACCTTTTGACTTTCGCTCCCTAGAATAACTCTGGAATTAAATGAGCAGATAATCTCAGCTGGGACTACTCAGTGACATTTTCCGGTGATAAAAACGTAGTTTTTTGCTTTTATGTGTGCTTCATTCGTCTGTTTGTGACAATCTGGTCTGGGCATTTCGGTTCTTTCATAGCTCCATTTTCGATCGTGCACTACATTTGGTTGAATTAAGTAGCTTTGAAACTCTCTGAATTTTGCGAAAACAATTCAGCCGAATAGCAATGATCCACCTCCCTTCCTTATTATCCTTCCACAGGCAAATTCCAGCGCTGAGCACGAACGGCATGTGATCTCTGTGAAATATCAATGTGAGTTCCTTTAGTTACGTTATCCTACTTCTCTGCTGTTTCGCTTCGATTTGGATAGTTTTAAAATCTCCGCTTCTTATAATAGTCTTGGATGATTATTTTTATGGTTGAAGTGAACATCGCTGCTGAACGCATTTTCATCACACACCAAAGCCCTTCCTGCTGTACCAAGGTCGTTTTCAGATGCCTAACCCACTTATCAAGAAGTAACTATGGATGAAATGCGATCAAACTGGAAAGACGACTTATGAATCTTATGAAGATGACGGAACCGCTTGAATGAATCTGGAAAATTAGGGATCACTACGAAAGTAAACCGCATAGGGTACGACTGGATCCTACGGATACGCAGAGGATGAAGACCGCAGAAAAGGAGATAGGCAGAGTAACAGCACGGAGGGAGCGTGCATATGAGTACTGCCATAATATGTACGAGCACCTGTACAAATGGACTCGTATCATCGCAGTAAACCTATTTGCACCTAGTTGGGCTTTACACAAGCTCTCTAATCAGTAAACTAGTTCAAAGGGTATATTTCTTTCTTTGTCGTAAGCTGTTTAATATCAATACAGCAATCAACAACACTAAACGCGACTGCAGTGTGTGAAAGTGAACAAACACAGTGAGGTGGTCATCAGTGCAGGGATTAGAAAGGTGATTGCGAGACTATATTGAAGTGGCTACAACTAGAATTTCCGTCCAGGAGACGACAGGCAAATAGGGACAAAGACAGCCGTGTGCGTGTATATATGATACGTCCAGTCAGTGAGTGTGGGTTCAGCAACTGGAACTAGGGCTATAGGCGCAATTATTTGAGACCAGGGGATAAATGATAGCCACAGAACCAATGTTCGTTACACTAACATATGCCATTGCAGTAATTTGTACTAGCTCTACTTTTGCTGAGGTAACCGTCTAGTATTTATCTAGCATTGAGGAGTTGCAAGCATTAAAGCTGATGGTTCATGAAAGTGGATTGGGATAGCTACGTATCACCACCAAATCTTAAGTCTTTACACATTTTCATAGGCTATTCACCTAGTCTCAAAGGTGGGTCGATTTTGCAGAAGCAACTAGGTGAATTTAATCTAAGTTGCTCAGCTTCAGCGCAAAGCAATGCAGTAACTGAAAATTCAATACAAGTTTGCTCATAACCGCAATGTGGCCGTTAATCGCACTGCTTACACAGTAGTCTATTTGTGCCGGATTTTCTTTAATTTTTTTGTTGTAGTGTATATAAGCATTATACTAATAATATCACCTGCACCTCTGTTAATCGTCAAACCCTACTCACCTTGTGTTAGAGGCCCCGTGCTTTCCACAACACCGATTTAGCTGATTCTTCTCATTATGGTATAAATGCGGTTCACAGTTTTAACTATATATTTTGGTATCACACTTCCTTGACAACACACACAACCCGTTCTCCTTCTCCGGTTTTTGTTCGTTACCAATCTGGTCCGGTTAATCTTGTAAGCTTCAAAAATCGCTTACGATAGTTGGACAAAGCGTAGGGCACCGATTCGCGGCCTCCGACAGGGGATCAATGAGCGACAAGGATCGGAGTTGGTGTGTAAGCACCGGAGAAACAAAAAAGCCACAGTCGATGCTGTACTACGGTGCTATTATACAAAGAGTAAAAGGTCAAAGTGACAACATACTTCAACAATGTCCTCAAACAAAGACAAGTACAATCAGTTGGCCGTTACAATAACAGGACATCAATACGGTCGTCCAGTCAGCAAAATGACCCAGCGCGGTTACATGACATGCGAGACATGCACCAGTGAGCTAATCAAGAAACCAACAGCCACTAGTCCAATCACATCAAGCAGGTTCAATGGGGGACACACTATGAAGACCTGAGGTTAGGGGCACATGTCAGCCGGATGGCTGGTGTGTCCACCCTACAAAATCTCTGGTCTACCCTGACCTCAATAGTAACACGCAAATGGAACAAGTGCGAAGCAGTGATCGATAGAGTGGAGCATGCATCAAAGAAAGTAGCGAGACAGGTGGTGTCACCAATGTAAGTTGGGCATGGAAAACAAACGACTAAGGGTCATGCAGGGCGGTATACGTGGAACGTTCAAACAGAGTGAATTCAAGGGGAATTAGGGCAATAATGTGGGTCCAGGCGAAGGGCGATGGCTGTTGACAAAATGGACGTTACAAATCTAACCGCAGCTCCTTGACACCACATGTAATCTAGTTTGCCTTACGGTCATAGTGTCTGGGATCATTTACATTTCGTGGGTTTGCTTCTCACCAGCATAGAGCACTACTTTTAGATTGTAGCATTCGACCATATTTTGGCAACTTTACAGGTTGGGTGTCTACTTTACATATTGTTCTCAATTCCTCAATATCTTATGCACTTCAGTAAGATTAACGGAGTTTTTACTTAAACTCCCAGGTGCAACGATATCACTTTTCTAGTGCATTTTTAATGTTTTGGACTTACTGGAAAAGCCAGCGTCAGGCTATCCAAGTAGTCGAAAATCTTTAGCATCCGGCACTTTTTTCAGTCGCTGCATCGTATTTTGCAGCCAACCCTGTTAGGCTCGTTTATTGTGAAAAGGATCCATTTCTCTGAGTCCACCGGAAACTGTAACTATCGGGAATCGTCAAACATGTTGCCCCTCTTATGTGGTTTTGGGACGCTATTCGTGTCCCTCTTACTATCCAGTCCAACGCACCAGTTACGTGGCCCCGTGTGTGTGTGTGTGTGTGTGTCAACAAATACCCTGCCTGCTTTCCGGATGCATGCGGGAGCCGCAGTTGCCTTGCGAACACGGTCTAAAGAGAAAGCGTATTAGAGTGGGAGTACAGCAAGCCTATAGATGAAGAACATTTGCCACTTTGGAAAAGGGGGTCCAGGCGGGGTATTATGTTCTGGTGTTACCAAACGGTCTTTACACTAGTTTTACCTACTTGTCAGCAAAGTGGATGGAACAAGTTGAACAGTGAGGCAAAACACATTCCGCTCTACACCGAATGTATACTTGTCCCACCTTTTAGGTACACAGTAATTGTAGCGCAGAAGTACAAAACGGAGCAACGATTATCAAGAAATCAAAACTTAGTATAACTTTCGCTGCGGAATGATCTGCAGCAGGGCTCAAAACCCAAAACCACGGTTAAGCTCAATATTGTAAGGCTAGGTACATGGACAACTTCATCTCGAAACCACGCCAACAACCGAATTCCCGCAACTTCGGTGAAACCGATCATAACCCAAGGGAAATTGCATGAGAATCGACCTGTGGCGCATGCTTTATCAACACTATGTTACACCCGCTGCTCGTCGTGTGGCTTTATACGCTTCCGTTGCTGCTGCGCACGCATCAGGTACAACTTATGTTAATGCAAGTGATGCGATCACACAGTGTGCTGAAATTGTTAGCATACGTCCCTCACTCCGTCATCACAGCAGACCAGAAAATTGGTTTATACGGCCACATCTAGACAGACTGACGGGTCACTAATTATCCTATGTTCCAGCGCTTCCGAATCCAATGCGAAACCTATATAGAATAAATTGCCGGACGTTGGAAAGTGTAGGGCACTAGTATTCTTCAGCGTTAACTCGTCTATCACATTGCGTATCCCAAATCTCCTGAACTCAGCTTACTGCAATAAATCACGGCACTTAGGGTAGCGCTGCAATCAGCGACCAACACATAGGCGATTCTTCTGTTAGCCACTCGTCTGCAGACTACGTCGGGTGACATCTGCAAATTTGCCGACTTCTCTCGTTTTGAGAACCAGCGAAGGAAGTAGTACCAGATCACCCAGCATGTTGCAGCATTTAGACGTAGAAGTTGGAACAAAAAACACTTTTGTCGCACTTACGAGGGTAGCACACCAATCTGACCCCGAGGTGTTTATAAAAACAACATGATGGCTTAGTTGTTGACGGGTCAGTTAAAGTTAGTCAAAGAAATCAACGTAAAACCAACCTCTGAACCGACCTTTATGGACTCCTAGTTTCCCTTGCTTTGGTTAATGTATGATAACTTGGGTGCACCACTAATACTTCGTCTTCCTAACACTACAGGTTCGTTTTCGTAGCCGCCTTTTGCTGCCATCTGTTCAAATAAGCCGTGATCGCTGCCGCTTTTCTTTATATATGGTCCCAACTTCGTCTTCTCTCGTCATCCCTTTGCTTTCCAGGTGCAGCCACCTCTGCTCTTCCCTTGACATGTAGTATGTATGGCAACAAAGTACAGTGACTCCAATTCACGCCTGATTCCCGTAATGTCATTTAAATAGACAAATTTGCAAAACTGCAAAACAGGGAACTTTTGAGATGGGTAGAATGCGTTACTGCTGATAAGCTACAGATGCTGATTTGTTCAGATATACAGTCGGTATGGCTGTGGATGACACAGACATTTCCTAACGATGGTTTGATCCGCGCATCGGTAAACTGAGATGGTAGCACAAGTGAAAGGAAATATTCCATTATTAGTCCGACTATGCGTAACAAGGATATAACTTACGACGCATGTGAACGACTGCGATAACGAACGCACTAGGTACAGAAAATCTACAACTCGAGAGTAAGAACGATACTTGCCTCTCTATCACATTAATACAACCAATGCTAGAGTACTGCTCACCCACAAAATGTCAAATCATCTGGGTGGGGTAGAAAAGATTGATCGACTCCAGCATGTGGCCACCAGGCTGATCCCCAACTTACGAGTTGTGCCGTATGTAGAGACTATGGCTTTACACCAAATCTAATCTTCGATTGCGGCTTGACCTCAAGATGACGCATCGGATACATCTCAAATATTACCCCATGCTGAGACCGCTGTTACCTTTGCGCACATCAAGCAGCACGCGAGGACACCAGTACACACTTGTAGTACCGGATTCGAAGCGGGTCGCCCACAAAGTCTGTTTCGAACGGAGAGTGGTGAATGTATGGAACAATCTGCCGCAGCAAGTCGTTGAGGCCAAGTCGGTGTGAGAATTTAAGAGATCCCTC